GGACAGAACAACAGGATATCGAGTGGAGTAATAGGCAAGCATGGCAGTGACAGGGTGAATGCAAATGGCATGAGGTTACTGACTCTTGTTCTGAGCATAACCTTACCATAACCAACATCATCTTCTAGCAGAAGACAAAATATAAGACCTCTTGGATGCATCCTCGTTCCAAACATTGGCACATGATTGACTTCATCATTGTGAGGTGTAGTGACATCAAGGATGTTCTCATCACTTGTGCCATGAGAGGTTCAGAGTGCTGGACCAGCCATCATATGAGTGTGGCCAAGCTCCATATTATGGTGTGCTTCCCCTTGTGGTAGCAAAAGCCCAATAAAAAGAGACTAAATTGTAACCACTTGGGAAACATAGAAGCAAGAGGTGAGTTTTGACGACTCCTAGCTGAGAAACTAAGGGAGGCAGAACCTTGTCTGAGCTCAGGAAACTCCATGGAACAACAGCGAGCCTATATTAGCTCTGTGCTCTATGATGCAGCAGCCCAGTCCATCGGCTATAAGAGCAGGAACCACCAAGACTGGTTTGACAATAACTCAGACACCATCCACAACTTGCTTAAGAATATGCACAAAGCACACAGGACAACTTTTGACAACCCTTTATCCACCAAGACAAGACAGCATTGGCTGGTAGTTTGGAAGAAAATTCAAAGGGAAATACGAACCATAAGGAATGAGTGGTGGACTGAAAAGGCATATGAAATCCAGTTCTTTGTCAATAAAAATTTAATGTATAATTTTTATAATGCTGTAAAACCATCTATGGACCAACAAATCTTTGCGTCACTTCCCTGAAAACAGCAGATGGTCTAACACTTCTGAAGGACCAAAATAGTATCTTGTTGAGGTGGGCTGAACATTTTGACACCCTGCTTAATCAGGATTCTGATGCAGACAAACTGCAAAAACTTCCTCCCATCCACGATCTCAGACTGCCACCAACCTTTCAGGAGGTTCTATCATCTGTCCATTCCCTTAAGAACAAGTCCCCTGGCGCTGATAATATCCCTGCTGAGCTACTGAAGGAGGGAGGGTACATATGTATGCGCACCCCCTACCTGTACATCACCAAGGCCTGGACTGATGAGAACATCCCACAGCAATGGAGAGATGCAAACATTGTTGTCATCTATAAGATCAAGGGAAACAAGGCCATTTGCGGCAATAGTAGGGGCATATTCTGCATATTCATAGAACTCCTTTTGTTGGTGGTAAAGTCCTGACCAAGGTGCTGCTTCAGAGACTCATTAACAATATCACTGAGTCAATGCTGCCTGAATCACAGTGTGGATTTAGGAAGAATAGAAGCACGATCGACATGATATTAACAGCCCGGCAGCTTAAAGAAAAGTGCCGGAAGCAACATCAGGAGATGTTTATGGTCTTTGTCGATCTCTCCAAAGCATTAAACACTGTGCAATGACAGCTTTTATGGGACGTACTCCTCAGGTTTGGCTGTCCCAATAAATTTGTTAACATCCTCCGCCAGTTCCATGATGGGATGACTGCTCGGGTGTCCACAGGCGGACAAGAGTCCGAGCCCTTCCTTGTGCGCACAGGGGTGAGGCAGGGGTGTGTGCTAGCACCAGTGCTCTTTAACATCTTCCTCCTGTGTGTCACCAAGCTTTTCCACAACGAGATTGAAAATAGCAGTGGCATAGCAGTAGACTTCAGACTAGACGGCAACCTCTTTAATATTAGGAGGCTACACGCAACCAAAAAACTCTGTAGAGAGCGGGTCCTGGAGCTGCAGTATGCAGATGACTGTGCCTTTGTGGCCCATATTCCAGAGGACCTTCAAACTGTCCTTGCTGTGGCGGTTAGGGCGTACGGCAGGATAGAGCTCACTGTCAACTCCACCAAGACAGAAGTGGTTTGCCAATGGAGTACCAATGTCCCATCCACACTTCCTGCCTTCACTGTTGGGGATGAACAGCTGTCAGTAGTGCCATCTTTTAAATATCTGGGGAGTATTCTCGCTGAGGACTGTGGCATCGACAACGAAATCCAGAGATGCATTAAACAGGCATCAGTTGCCTTTGGGAGACTTCAGCGTAGAGTCTTTCATAACAAGAATCTTCATCCCTCCACAAAGGTCGCCGTATACCAAGCGGTCTGTGTCACTACCCTGCTCTATAGCTGTGAAGCTTGGGTGACCTACAGCCGTCACATCAGGTCCCTAGAGCACTTCCATATAAGCTGCCTTCAGCTAATTCTGGGAGTTACCTGGCGTGATTGTGTGCCTCCCACTGAAATACTTAAAAAGACCAACTGTAGAAGTATTGAGGCCATGATCACCCAGCGCCAGCTGCAGTGGTTAGGCACGTGATAAGGATGCCCCCATGTCGACTGCCCCGCAGAGTGCTATACGGCCAGCTACATCATGGTCGACGTTCAGCTGGGGGGCCGAAGAAGCGATATAAGGATCAGATTAAGAACACCTTGAAGAAGTGTAAGATCAGACCCGAGGACCTGGAGGATGTTGCTGCTGACCGTACCATCTGGCAAAAGCTGTGTAGAGATGGGGCTCGTACGCTGGAGATGGAGAGGACAATCAGAAGACAGCAGAAGCGAGCCAGGAGAAATACAGCCATGGCTGCCACCACTGCCTTTACTACTACCATTACATACATATGCCCCACCTGTAATCGAGTGTGTGGGTCCAGGATAGGACTGTTTAGCCATCAAAGATCTCACGATAAAGGTGTGGACGTCGTCATCGGATTTGATGGACAACCGAGAGAGAGAGAGTGTGTGTGTGTGTGAGAGTGAGTGTGTAAGTGTGCGTGTATGTGTGTGAGTGTGTGAGTGTGACTCTCTCAGGCTGATGTACAGCTGTCTGTGACGAGATTTGTCTTTGAGGTGGTTTGGTCTGTCTGATGGCGTTTAACAGCAGTCAGACGCTCTCTGATGTTCAGCTTTAGTCTGCTGTGGGAAATTCAGCTGTGAGCAGCACAAACACATCCAAGTGACAGACCTGCGGTTGCACAATGGAGAGAGATTCTCTCGCGACAGGTGACACACGCTCTCTGACTGCTCTGCACGTGCAACATCACAAATCATGGAAATATCATAGACTGTATAAAAACAGGTAAATATACACACCCTGCATCTCAATGTTCATACTATCCGTCCTAAATAGTGTTTGAGATTAGAATAAGTGTGTCCCAAAGCATAGTATGTTGAAAAGAGTATGCCAAAAGTCCCCGGATGGTCTACTATTTAATATCAAGTTTTTGAAGTGTGGATCCGTGCTCACTCTAATGGCTAATATTGCCCACAATCCATTGCGCTTTGGCGAAGGATTCGGTCCAGAACTACAAACACGAATAAAACGCATTAAAAACTACAAATATGGCGGATGTGCACGACCGGACTTAGGAAGAGAGGCTTGTGTGACCTGATAGTATGTCCCAAAGCTTGCCTACTCTTCTACTACACACTCACATATGTGTACTTTTTCATCTCCAAAAGAGTATATACTTTTAGGGCGTAGTATAAGTAGGCACATTGAGACGCAGCAACAGTGTTGGGGGTAACGCATTACAAGTAATGCAAGTTACGTAATCAGATTACTTTTTTCAAGTAACTAGTAAAGTAACGCATTACTTTTTAATTTACAAGGAAATATCGGAGTTACTTTTTCAAATAAGTAACGCTAGTTACTTTGTTTCCATGTATTGACTGAAAGCTCTGGTGTTGCCATGGTGACAGAAATCGGGAGTAAGTGCAGAGGTTGTGTGTTACTGTAGTTCTAGACTAAATATGAACATTATTTACTCAGCTCACTGCACAAAAACAGATTCAGCATTCCTCGAAATGAACAAAAACAGTCAAACGCAAACTCAGAATATTATACAAACCTGCAATAAGAAGACAAATATAATTTATGTATTTAATCCCATCCTTCGATTATCTAATTCAACCATACTAATAAGCAAAAATGACACATTTGTGTTAATGTTGAATAGTGTTGAACGTTCTTCTGCTGCGTCATATTCTTCATGTAGTTTGTTTGAGCAGCGCCCTCTACTGTACAGACGTGAATTTACATTTCCTTCAGCCCGAGGCGTATTAATTTCACTTTTGTGGTGAAAAGGGCTTTTACCTTTGTAAAGAAGAACTTTTTTATATTAAAAACAAACAAGCAAGCCCTTCCCAGATTTAAAAAGTAACTCAAAAGTAACATAACGCATTACTTTCCATAAAAAGTAACGTAATTAGTTACTTTTTTAGGGAGCAACGCAATATTGTAATGCATTACACAAAGCAGTTTCTGTAGCAAAATGCATTTAAATTTGTGATTAAAAATGATTAAAGTATAATAATAATGTAATAATAATTAAAGAAGTGACCATTTCATACTTGAACCTTGAACAGGCCTCAGTATTAGCAGATTTTATTTTATTTTTTACATTTGTGTTTGGCTTCAATAATTATAAATATGTAATTCATACCATTAAAATACTAATTCCTACACATACCTCTGAAATCAAAATATGTATCGTTACATAAATACATATTAAATTAAATATATATTGTTTAAACTTTTCATATATACATTATATATCTATATCTAATTAAATTAATATTAAATATTATAATAAAAAAATAAATAATAATACTAAATATTAAATAGTAAATATTAAAAATACTAAAATAAATATTTAAAAATCTGCCATTTTGGCCAGGACTCCCTGGAAGAAGATATTTTACGTCTTAATAGGACTATTCTGGTAAAATAAAGGAAAATATATATAAGCTTCAACAGCAGTCACTCATATTTACCAAGTGATTTTTCATGTTTATAAACAGCTCCTCTATATTTAAAAAAAAGTTTGTTTTAGTTTATTTTAATTATTAGTATTTTAATCAACTGTCCCCTTATGTCACCAGTCAGATCTGTTTAAGAGTACTAGAGCTCTTGAACTCATGTTCTGCAGGAGTTGTAGTTCTTCCTGAGCTCCGCAGAACTACAACAACCAGAAGCGCTTGCGGTTTACGTCGACGTCACCGACCGGAAGTGAAAGGAGCCGCCGCGCTGAACACGCAACGCAGAGGGTCACATTGGACACCCATCAATGTTTCATAATAATAAACAATCTAGTCACTAATATCAGTAACTGAGGTGTAAATGGATCCGTCTAAAGCAGGTACAGTGTCTGATCTGACATGAATGAGCTAAATGACTCTTCTAGGGTATTTGTATTGATATACTCCCTATTTATGGCTGTTAGGGTTTGTTTATCTGATTATATGAATGATTGAGTGTTGCATTAATATGAATTGTTATATTTTATCTATTTGTTTGAGTTATTTTTAAATAAAAAAAAACAACAACACGTGACCCTCTAACACTAGCATCCTCTATTTTATCCTCTATTCTTTTGACTTGTTTTATTTATATGAAGAAGAGACCCTCTAACACTAGAGTTCCCTATTCTATTTTTCTATCCTATTCTAGGCTAGCCTTATCACGGCACTTGCGTATCATTGCTCTTTTGTTGTTTTGATTGCTTGTATTGTCCTCATTTGTCAAAAGCATCTGCTAAATGTCTAAATGTTATTTTGTCTCCACAGAGGAGCCGCAGCTGAGACACGTGGAGACAGATGTGCTGATTCCTAAGTTGATGCGGGAGAAAGCCAAAGAGAGATGCGCTCAACATGTGGACGGTATGAATCTCAGCTGCTGAACACATACAGTGTCGTCTCCTCAAGCCTCCCATGCAGGGTTCCTACGGGGTTCGGAAAAATATTTACAGACGACTATAATATATACCAGTTCACCCTCACCAGACATCATCTGAGCTAAACTCTACACGTGATAGCAGGAGACGTGTGATGTAGAGCTTCGTGAGCTGCTCGCTGTCTCGTATGAGCCCTCGTGAGGGTGTGTGAGCGTCTGTGATCCCTCAAAAGGCAGCTGACGAGGTTTCGGAACAGGGCGCTGGGTGCTAAAAATACAAACGTAACAATAATGCGTCGGGTGAGTTTATGGGTGTCTGTCTGAAAAACACTTTCCGTTGACCCTAACTGGATTCAATACAATTCACCACAAATCACACTATGGAGAAAAAAATATAAAAATAGAAAGTTAAACAAGTAAATCCAAATCTAGTTTTAGAAAAATGAATCGTAAGCATCTTATTTAGTTTTAATTTTGTATAACTAAACCTGGCTAAGCCATAGAAGCTGACATGACCGTAAAAAAGAATAGAAAGAATAGGTATATATATATAATTTTTAAAATGACAAACAAGTTATATTAATATATAACTTAGATATAAAGTTTAATATAATATTTAAAATGAAATGTACAACAACAAAAAAAAACTTGACATTTACTAAAATACGCAAGAAGCATCTGACACTACAAGTTACAATACAAATATTTATGTCCTAAATTCTGCACTTTTAAATGTTCAAATTCACAGGCTTTTATTTTGGCGGAATATTAATAATACCGATTATATCGACTATGAACATTCCGTTCGTTTTTCAAATTGGTATGTTTCGCCGGGCCGCGAAGAAACATAGCGCTGAGTATCATCAGCATAACCGTGAAAGCTAACAGCGTGTTTCCTGATGATATCTCCGAAGGGTAACATGTAAAGCGTGAAGAGTAACGGTCCTAGTACTGAGCCTTGAGGCACTCCATACTGCACTTGTGATCGATATGATACCTCTTCATTCACTGCTACGAATTGATGGAGGTCATATAAGTACGATTTGAACCATGCTAATGCGCTTCCACTAATGCCAACAAAGTTTTCTAGTCTATGCAAGAGAATGTTGTGGTCAATAGTGTCGAACGCAGCGCTAAAATCCAGTAGCACTAATAGAGAGATACAACCACAATCAGATGATAAGAGCAGGACATTTGTTACTCTAATGAGGGCAGTCTCAGTACTATGATACGGTCTAAATCCTGACTGGAAATCCTCACAAGATACCATTTTTCTCTAAGAATGAACATAATTGTGAGGATACTAGATGAGTGTGTGTGTGTGGCGGTGTTTGCTCTCAGTGACTGCGATTGTGAGGGTTGTAGTGGAGTATTTCTCCTTTTGTGTGTGTGTGTGTGTGTGTGTGGAAACCCCCTCCTGACGTTTGCTCATGGCTTTCACACCTCTGCGCCGCAGCGCTGCAGGGACGAGTGTTAGCGTGTTCTGCACACGTATGACAGTCTGATGAAAGCGCTGGCTGGAGTCGTAATGAGACCACAGCGAGAACAAGCCTCTTCATTCTGCAGAGCTGCTTTACTCTCAGAGTTTCAGACGTTCAACTGCCACATGTGCCACGTTTGATCATGAGGTTTGATCAGGCAAAGTCAACATGAGCTCATGAACTTATTGATAAGGTCATCTATGTTCCAAAGAACATCTTTCATCAAAATGCGATAACTTGCTCTGCCTCTGAATCCTTTTAGCGTCATTCAGTGTCGACTCAAACGAGAGATTTTTTAATTTTTAATTTTTAGTCGTAGAAATACATAAATAAAGAAGATAGCCAAAATATTAAATGTCAAGGTTGTAATCCACAGTTTTTTAGGGGGGGGATCAAAATGACAAATTTTCTTATCAGGCCGATACCGATATGGTGGCCGATATATCGTGCATCCCTAATCATGTTCCATGAAGACATTTTGTAAGTTTCCTACCGTAAATATATCAGAACTTAATGTTTGATTAGTAATATGCATTGCTAAGAACTTCATTTGAACAACTTTAAAGATGATTTTCTCAATATTTCGATTTTTTTGCACCCTCAGATTCCAGATTTTCAAATATTGTCCGATCCTAACAAACCATACATCAATGGAAAGCTTATTTAGTCAGCTTCCAGATGATGCATAAATCTCAATTTCGAAAAATTGACCCTTACGACTGGTTTTGTGCTCCAGGGTCACATATGGTTCAGTTCCAGAGATAATGGAATTTCAATATGGCTCCAGGAGTAAATTGTACACATTTTCAGTGGTCAAAAACCAAATGTGGGTCCCTTTGCAAAAATATAATGCTTCTTTTCTTTTAAAGAGGAATGTCTGAAGAACAAATTATGTTGAAACTAGAAATGTATCTTGTTTCCTTCTGTCCAAACAACTGCATTGAACATGCCTGTTTGATCTTAATATCCTTTTAGATTTTGGTTTATAACAAACTTTTCGTGTTTTAATTAGTAAGGTCCTATAAGGTGCATTTCCAGAGATAGTGGGCCTCATTTATCAATCTAACGTAGAAACAAGCGCAGATCCGTGCGCACAAATCAACTTACGACGTGATTCATGAAACATCCGTATGCCGCCAGTCTCATCGTACGGATGATCGCACGTTGATAAATGTGGTGGCAGAAAACAATCGTCATTTAAATATCACGCCCCTAAAAACACCCTCGTTTAGAAGCCACGCCCCTAGAGTTTACGATACGGAGAATCAAAACCTGGTCAAAAAGAGGAAGTAATCTCATGAAAGAGAAATTGATCTTACTCTAAAAACACCCTTTTTAACATTAAATTATAATGCAATGTTAAACATAATTTCAAACAATTGCATTAATTTATATGTATATTATGTATATTAAATTTATATGTATATAAAATGCTTTTTCACTTTTTCAACTTTAGTTATTCTGTAATGTTGCTGTTTGAGCTTAAAAAAGATCTGCAAAGTTACGAAGCTCAAAGTCCACTTCAAAAGGAGATATTTTATTTAACAGAAATCACTTTTCAAAAACTACAACGAACGACTCGTTTGGACTACAACGCATATTTTCCGGGATTTGTGATGTCACAAATACCGACGAATGGGACGAGACCTGGTTGAGCTGCACTAGAGAAGGCGACGAGAGTTATCACTATGTAGGAGACACGCTAGCTTTCCGAAAGCAGATTAACTTAGAGTGGTTACAATCATCCGCGTTTAAATCGTGCTCAAATTTATTTGGTTTTGATGCAATATTTACACTGAAGCTAGCAGGCGGCTATGATAAGGGACATGACATTTCCCGACCAGACGCCGAGTGCTGCCAATCACAACACACACTGGCCCAGCTAACCAATCGCAACACACACACACTGACCCAG